CTGTGAACTCTCTGAAATTCTATATCGCTGGCGTCGTCGATGCCAAGCTCTGACTGCAAGAAATCTATCAGCACTTGCCGCGTGTCCTCTGCACCATAAAAACGAAGGTTTTCTCTCCTTTGGTAAACTCCCATGTACAGAACCTCTTGTCTGAGAGCGGTGCAGTCTTTCTCCAGTTTCTTTAACCCTTCGACCTCGCTGTTCAGGAACGCCAATCCTCTGTCGTGCTCTTCGATAGACTTCATTGCATTTCTTGTTGTCGCCTCCAGAGTTTCCACTTTCCTAGTTAACGCATTTACTTTAGCGTCCACGTTTTTGACATAGCTTCCAAGGTTGTCGTGTTTTGTTTCCATCGCCTACAGTTTTTTAAGGACGATGTCAAGTTTAGGCAACACGTCTTCCGCCATTTCTAGTACTGAATGCACTTCGTCGATTCCGCAATCCTCTTCTGACAGGTCAAGTTTCGATCTTTTATCTTCAGATGGTCGGTTATCCTCCTCGCTAGAGGTAGAGCTACTCTTTCTGCTTTTTCTTTTATGTTTTTGAAATAAATCTTCCATTAAAAACTTCAAAAAACTCCCATAGATTCACACTAAGCCGGAGCACACCAAGCGCTTCTACTCTCGCTCCATGCCCGACTCAGTCCACTGAAAATGCAAGTTGCGATGAGCATCTTGTTTCGTTTTGCATTATCGATTCATTGTCAAGGAGACAGGTGATGAGAAAACAGGAAACCATCTGCTTGGAAACATCTTGATGAACTGTTGAACTTAGCTTTGGTGCAGACACAGGAAAGCAGTAAGACACATCTGTTCACTGTCTAAACGGTTTTGTAGAAATGTCTGACAATCTGTTCAGTATTATCATCCATCTTGGAAATGAAAGCAATAACCAATCGTATGGCACACACAGGAAAGCCATGGTTCAAAAAGTCGTTCATGTGGTTTTGTAAGTGAACATGAATACCATGTTCAGTGCATCTTATTATTCTAGTGGGAGAGAGATTTCAAGTCTAAGGGACGGGAAGCGGGCTGTACCATTGAATACAGCTCATAAAGTTGACGAACCACGAAGTGCTTGTATTCTCTGAGTATAGCTTTATTGGACATCAACAAAAAGTCTCATTCATTTTGAAGGGGAACTTGGCTCCAGCGAGTGCTGTTCTCAAGTTAAGCGGAAAGGATATATCTGGAGCGTTTCGTGGACCGGTGGGTAGCTTGTGCTAACACAACCCTGATACAATGAATATTCTAAAGCTTTAGCCGCATGATTAAGACCAGTTCTAGTCCGAGAACACAACATAGCAATCCTAGCTATGAAGGTCCAACATGCTAACCATCAGGAAACTAGCTCTCCTTGGTATTGGTAATATCCAGTAAGACTTTTTACAAACAGGGACCATTCATTTAAACTAATTACCCAGCCATTTGTCTGAAAAATATTGTCTTCTCATTCCAAGGCGTCTTTTTTCACGTGTGTCAATTTCTCCAGATTGAAAAGATTAAAAGAAAAAAAAGAAATAAGAAAGAAAAAACTTGTCAACTAGACAAACCAAGTAGGTTTCACAGTCATTAAGGGCTGTATCATCGAGTGTGCGTTAGTTCTGTTATAGACAAACGTTTGTTTAAAGCGATTGACCCCTATAAATGTAAAAAGACAGTAAGCCTTTCCAAATTGTCTCTGTTTTTAAATTTTTTTACTCAGCACTGTATCGTTGCCATGGAAATAGTCTGAAGTCATGTTTTTCTCTATCAATTTCTTTGCAGGCAGTAATATTTGACGGAGAGGAGCGAGCATTTCAGAGTGTCATGAATGGAAAGGCGAGTTTCACGTTATATCATAACATACAGAAACGAGCCTGTAAAACCTGTTTTTACGAGCTGTGATCGGCTGCTTAAGCTCGGGACATCGCACACTGTCCACAGTGATGGTTTCAAATCTTTTTAAAACGCTAGTCAAACGGAGTCGCAAGTAGCCGGAAGTTGAACTTACGCAGAGAGTTATGTTGACTGGAAAACAGACTTGCAAGTTTCCTCGCAAGTACACGCAAGTCGCAATTAAACTCATCACAAATAGATGAGTTTGGGAACTGGTGCCTTAAAGGTTAGCGGGGTGCCAAAGCCACAAGCCGCTGGGAGGTATCTATGGCAACCCTGGAAAGCAGGAACCACCCAATGAGCGTCCGCTGACCGGCACCGTCACACCGAAAGAAATTCAGTGGAAACTACTTACCTGAAGAATACTTACCCTTAATACTTATACTTAATCAAGTACTTAATACTTAGGGAGGAGAGGGTGCAAGAATCCCCAATGATTCGCGAGCAAAGCAGTGCAACTGATCCGTAACAATCAGCTGAATACACTACAACAATTATGCAATGAACCATAAACCCCTGCAAAACCCCTGAAGGCCGCCCCACAGGTCACATACTCCCAAACGGGGAAACCGCTGGCTGCATAAGCTCATATTTAGCTTGCCTAAATCATATTAGCTGGATGGGCACGCTGGCTGGCTGCATTAGCTTGAGTTTAACCTTGCCTAAATGATATTTAGCCACATTAAAAACCATTTCAAGGTAGATATATCCTGTAATTCATTGGCTAGTAGGTTGCTATAACAACGAATGGACGTCAGTCAACTTCCATTGACTTAAACTGGGTTGCGAAACGGTGAAAAACTTGCGTCGACTTACGTGCAAATGGAGCGTTAGTAGACACAAGTTACTTGCTAGTCCGTTTGGCTAGGGCTTAACATCGCATGAAAGATATATTTGGGCGTGTACTCTTTGTTTTTACTGGTGCGACAGGTAGTCTTCCTGCTCTAGTCTGGTCGAAATTAGTAAAAGACAGCTGGCTTTATAGACAAGTCACGCGACGACAGCCAACCTGCTTACCCACAAACCTGTGTCATGCTCAACCAGAAACTCTTTCTTGTGTCTTCCTTGGTTTAGCGCAGAATATCAAGTATTAAATTTGAAATACAAAACTTCAAAATTTACTTGAATTATACCGTGTCTTCTTTGTCGATCAGTTCCAGTGGAGTCACGAGAACACGGGACGAGAGACCGTGTTAGATAATACAACGTGCACTGGAGTATTTTTGTCGAACTTTGAGGTGCTTGATAATTTGGTAAAACAGTGTCTGAAGTCATAAGTGTTAGATGTATCTTCTTGACAATAACTAAGGAGAAAACGGAGCAATGAAACCGCACAAATTTATGCCAGTTAAGATGAGATATCCTAACACCGTCTTGGCTTTGATTTTTTTTTTCAAACTTGATGACTTGTAAATGAGTTTGAGAATTTAAGAATGAATGTCAACGGTTAGGCGTTCAGTCCTGTTTCCAGGCTCATTTTAAAGCTGGATATTCTTCTGAGAATAGAACTGTTAATTTGTATGTTTTATTTCATCAATAGATTAAAGCTGGAGATGTGCTTGTTATTCGGTATGAAGGACCACGAGGGAGGTAAGTTTCCAGCAATCCGTGCGTTGTTATCGGACCTCTAGTGTATTTACAAACCAGAGCCTCGGTGTACAGTCATGTTCAAACATTGCAGAGCATATCGAGAAAGTTTCATCTTCAAACACATCTGTTTCATTCCTCTTAGCCCAGGGATGCCAGAAATGTTGGTACCCAGTGGCGCCCTGGTTGGAGCAGGCCTGGGGAAGGAAGTGGCCTTAGTAACAGATGGAAGATTCAGCGGTGCTTCTCATGGCATCATGATAGGTCACGTGTCACCTGAAGCTCAAGTTGGGGGTCCAATAGGACTGATAGAGGATGGTGATATTATCGTTATTGACCCGAAGACTGCTACCCTGCATGTGGTATGTTTCACTGACTTCCCGTATTCTGTAGTGCTGCTTTGAAATTACAAACCTTTTTGGTACTTAAGGAAATGGTGTCATGATTAACTCCCGTAAGGAGAATTATTAAACAGCATGGGAATGGAGAGGACAACCAAGATCAAGAGGGGATGAAGGGAAGGTTTAGAGGGTTATTCATAAGATAATCCCTCACAAGTGGCTTCAGAAACCCAAAAGACAAATCCTCTGACGCGGATTTTGCTAACATGGACAGTCCAAGCGGCTTTTTTACGTGCCTTTTCACCCTCCGCGGAAACATCCACGCAACACGCGTGGTAACACTATCTGTGGCAGAACCTGATACCATATCTTAAAATAGCTTAAGAGGGATTACCTTGAGAATAAGGCCCATCTCCTTCTCCCTCCTTTGCCAAGTGCGGATCTTGGGCAAAATTTGTTAAGCTTGCCTCCTGTATTTGGATAAGATTATTTTGTTCGAATTTTAACATTGTTTTAAGTGCCTTATGTCAACGAACTCTTTCATCAAATTCGTTTCTCAGGAGCTTACAGATGAAGTGTTAAGCGAGCGGAAGTCAAAATGGCAACCACCCCCAAGGAGGCTGACGGGATTACTTAAAAAGTACTCTAAAGTAGTTTCCAGCGCCCATGTAGGAGCGGTTACCTATTAACTGACAACATACGGGACATTGTGATTGAGTTCTCCAAAAGATACAAGGGTTACTTTTCTCAGTGAAAGCATCGCTTCCGTCCGGTTTGACGCTGGGAGAAATAACTTGATTTCAAAGAATAGTACGAGGCGAATCGTAGCAAAAACGGGATTCTTAACAATGGCGAGGATAAAAATCGATGGATAATTTACACTTTATGAACAATGAGCTTGGCTGTGATTTCTTTGAAAGTTGTGTAAATCAAATTGTGGAGTATTTTCTATCGAATCCTTTCTATCATTTTAGTTTCATGGTGTTCCAATAACCTCAGTTCTGGTGGATTGGTCATCATTTGATGAAATGACCTCGTAATGACTTCTTAGTGACGTAATAATAACTTGACTGACACATTTCAATGTAATCTCACTCGTAGTCACTCGTGGTCAGTCGTGAGTACTTTTAGACCCTATCAACGTAACCTACACAGTCCTCCAGATGGCAATTTACTGAAACGTATCGCGAGGTGGGAATCTGACAAAAACCTAAGTCTATTGAATTTAGAAATCTGTCCCAAAGATAATAAGTTCATATCAATTCCTAACTGAATGTAGAGAATATAGGTATTCCGGCACACAGTTTATATAGTACGTTTTAACGGTTTTGCTAGATCAAAACTACAGAATTTCATATCTTGCTATATCAGAGACGACGTGCGTTAATTAAGAAAATGACAAAAGTGATGCCACAAACGATTCAGACAATTCATAATGGTAATTGAACTGAGTGGAGTGCAATTTGGTCTGCGATGGATTTCTTTTGAGTTGTGAAACTCCCTCGACCAAAATTGCACGACACGAAGTTCAATTGCCACTTTATTAGATCCATTTTAAAATCGCACGATTTTATCGCCTTCAATTTTAGATTTTTGGTCTTAGTAGCCGGTTTGTTAAAAAAAGCGGAACCGGAAACGCCTTTACGTCTCATTTAGTATGCAAAACGATGTCATGTGACGAAAACTCATTCAAGCATGACAAAGAAACAAGCAGTTCTGAAATCAGAACGAAAATAGTCTACTTCAGGGACAAAAGTTCAGTTCTCGTCGCCTGAATCAATGATGGAAGGCCTTCCTTTCTTTTGTGGTTGAGGCTGAGACTGTCATGGTCTCTGGAGAAGGAATTTGAAGATGCATCCTGTGTAATTCTGCGATGGATTTCTTTTGAGTTGTGAAACTCCCTCGAGTGCACGATGCCCAGTGGATAGTACGTTTTTTTCTTTTAAACACC